CTATCATGATGCACCCCATGAAATGCACCCATACTTTGCCAAGTCTCCAAATTTCCCGGAGTCCATTGGACCTCTCACTTCCCTTTCGAGATCCAAACCTTCTTGGTGCTCTTCATGTTGGAAATAATTTCCTTTGGCACCCAAAAGCATTTGACCCCATTGTTGGCTTGCTTGTTCACCTTGATGGCCACCACCTTGTCATTTTTCTTCTTCTTCAAGAGATAAGGTGTGGAGACCTTTTTGTCCACCTTGTTGGTGTGGGTGTTGAAGAGCTTGCTTGTTTGCTTTTTCTCTTTCTTCTTCGCTCCTCCCCCATTCTTCACCTTGCACTCATAGGACTTGTGACCTTTCTTGTGGCACACGTAGCAAACCATGGTTTGTCCTTCATCAAGCTTCTTCACTCCCTTGACGGTGTTATCTTGATGAAGTTGGGCTTGCTCCTTCTTGCCTTTCACTTGAGTCAAGTTCTTGGTGAGGCGAGCCACTTCTTGCTTGAGTTGTTCATTCTCCTTTGCAACCTCTTGTGTGCATGTATCTACAACGACTTTCTCAACATAAACTTGGTTGCACAAAGGTGAGTCTAAAAATAAGTTATTGCAAGAAGTAGAGGCATCCTTTTTAGGTTTGTCAAAGATAGAACTTTTCTTTTTAGATGCCTTGGTGGGGGTTGTATCAATGGCTTCAAGATTAGCAACTTTATTAGTTAGCTCATCACAATGTTTGCACATGGTTTCTATTTTAGTAAGCAAACTTTTATAAGCATCTTGTGAGCTAGCTAACTTTTCTTTTAATTTTTCATTTTTCATTTTTCTTTACAAGTTGCTCATCATTGATTGTGCAAGTATTTGTTGTTGCACTAGCCTCAAGTTGCTCAATTTTAGTAGATATTTCAACATTGAGATTAGCAAATGACTCATATTGTTCAAGCAAAGTTTTATATGCTTCTTGTGAACTATCTAGCTTTTCTTTTAATTTTTCGAGCTTCTTTTGTTGACTAGTGCAAACTTTAGCATAATTAAGATTTTGTTGCACAATTTCATTATAAGAAGGCATTTCATCATCACTATCACTCTCACTAGAGGATGAGCTTTCGTTACCTTGTGCCATAAGGCACACACGAGAAGAGCTTGATGATGAGTGCTTGTGGCCTCGCCTCTTATGATGGTGTTCTTCTTCACTTAAAGAATCATCCCATGACCTTATTGATGTGAGAGCTTGGTTCTTGCATGCCTTCTTCTTTTATCTTGGGTGTGGGCTTGTTTGGACAAACTTCCACAAAGTGCCCCAACTCGCCGCATCTATAGCATCCTTTCTTTCTTTGCTCATTTCTTTGATTGGTGAAAATGAGATCTTGAATTTGGATGGGCACACCCTTGACATTGAGCCTTTGGATCATCCTCACCACCTTGTTAATAAGTTTGATTGATTCTTCATCAAGGTCGGAGGTGGAGGAGGAAGATTGATCATCATCACTTGAATCATCATCATCATCATCCTCTTCTTCTTCTTCTTCTTCACTTGAGGAGCTTGAACTTGAGCTTGTCTCAACTTGCTTGCCCTTCATCTTCTTTTTCTCACTACATGCGAGAGCTTTGTCTTTGCTTGATGAAGAGACTTCTTCTTGACCCATCTTGCGTGACATTTCAAATGCCACTATTTTGCCAATGACTATGGTCTGGGTCATGGTGCTCAAGTCCTCCATGTTGTGAAGGATGGTGATGATGCTTGCATATTTCTTTTGTGATAGCACGGAGATGATCTTTCTCACAATGTCCACATCACCTAACTTTGTTAATCCTATAGAATTGAGCTCATTGATTATTAGATTCAAATGAGAATACATATCACGAACAAGCTCATCATCATTTATTTCAAAAGAATCATAACTTTGTTGAGCTAGACAATGTTTTTACTCACGGACATTACTTGTGCTGTCATGGAGCTCTTGGAGTTTTGACCAAATTTCATGTGCCGTATTTAAAGTGAACACTTGGTTAAAAATATCCATGCTAAAAGATTCGAACAAGCAATTTTTAGCTTTAGCATTGAAATGAATTTCTTTTTCTTCACTCTTTGTAGGTTTACTGAGATTCTTAATGGGTTTCATCCCATCACGAGTGACTCTCCAAACACCTAAATCTACCGCCTCAAGGTAACAAGCCATTCTAGCTTTATAGTAGGGGAAGTTAGTGCCATCAAAATGTGGAGGCCTAGAGGTATCCATCCCAACCACTCTAAATAGCGTCGGCTCAACGGCGGTTAAGCCAAATGTCCAAATTGAGCCAACCGGCTCTGATACCACTTGTAGGGGACCATGACGCCTAAGAGGGGGGGGGTGAATTAGGCAACTTAAAATTCTAACTCTAAACTATGGCCTCATTTTCAACCCTTAGCAAAACCTATGCAAAAGATAAACTATCTAAATATACAACTACAGTTTTGCTAGTGTGTTGCTATCTCTACAGTAAAAGGAGTAATGTAATCAATGTAAATGTGGAAGCTAAAGAGTAAGGTAGAGATATGCAAACTCCCATCGATGACTCTAGTATTTTTACCGAGGTATCGAGAAGCGCGCAAGCTTCCCCCTAGTCCTCGTTGGAGCCCCTCGCAAGGAATCCCTCGCAAGGGCCAAGCTCCCGGTCGGGTAACTCTGTGGATAGCCCCGGGCCTTCCCCACGTGCAAGTGGGTCTCCGATGTGCCTTTCGGCAAGCCTCTCCCAGATGCTCCCCGCTGTCTTCACTATCAAGCTTCCGGTCGAAACGCTACGTGCCTTATTTCCTCCGGTACACAGCGGCGGCCACACCACAACCACGGTTGATGTGATCTCGCAAGACTACAAGCCCCTTCGATGTACAAGAATGGTGCACGCAAGCACCGAGTGGTAAGAGGTATGCAAACCTCACTAAACACTAGGCCTAAACCTAGAGCAAGCGCATAAGCGGTGGTCTAATCAACCTAAGCACTTCGCAAAAGCACCTACGCTAATCAACTAATGAATCACTAAGCACTATGCAAGTGGAGATCACTAAAATGGTGTGTCAACACTCTTGGTATGTTTCCTCAGCTCCACTACCGTCAAATGGCCGGTTGTGGGTCTATTTATAAGCCCCACTAAGAAAGTAGCTGTTGGGGATGAAATCCTGCTTTTCTGCTACTGACCGGATGCTGATCACGTCTTGACCGGACGCATCCGGTCGTCCCGACCGTTAGAGCCGTGATCAACTAATCGGACGCTGCTAGCATCCGGTCACATACCACCGGACTCGTCTGGTCGCAATTTCGCCGCTCTGGAACCTCTCTGTACTTGATCGGACGCTGTTGTTCTGCGTCTAGTCGATTTGCCGCCAGCATCCGGTCAATGCTGAATGTGTTGCTGGGATGATGAATAGTGTCATCGGTGTGTTCGTCATTTTCCTTGTTCAACGTTCGGTCGCTGCTACTGATGCCTGCTATAGCCAAGTCACTGATCAAAGCGTCCGGTCGATCACCTTCTAGCGTCCGGTCACCTCTGTGAGCTCGTATCTTCGCGATCTTGCATCCGGCTTGGTTCCTATCTTCGTGCTTGGACTTTGCTTGATATCTTGGGTCTTCTCTTATGCTCTAAGGTCTTGCTTATGGTATTGATCATCGGATCATCATGTCGCCTTTGTCCAAGTCACTTCTTGTACCCTATTAAACTACAAAACAATCACTTGCAAATTCATTAGTCCAATTTGGTTGTGTTGGTCATCAAACACCAAAATCCAAAGCAAATGGGCCTAGGGTCCATTTTCCTTACACCGCCCCGCCACCGCGTCCTCCAGGCTCGCCGCTCGCCGTGGAGCCCTAGCCAGCCCGCCCCACGACGGCGCGTCCCTGCCCCAGCGGTGTAGGCCAACTCCTAGGCGGATAGGAGCTGGTTTTGTTTCTGCCCCCGCATTTCCTCACCCACCTGCTGTCGCTCGTTCAGATTTGGCTCGATCCGCTGCTGATCCTGATCGTCGCTGCTGTTGGTTGGTTGTGAGCAAGGAGGGGCTGCGAGAGCGCGGCGCGCAGTGGACCGAGGTCATCTCATGGGAGCCTAGGGCTTTCATCGACCACAACTTCCTGGTAAGCAATGCAATGCCAATGCCACCACCGCGGTCTCTCTGTCTGCATGTTTGCTCTTATGTGTTCTGTGTAAAGTTCTTCGCGTCATCTGATTCTCATGACCGAGATGGATTGAATCGTGAGCTGTGTGGTAGTACAGTTGGATCTAGGAATAGAATAATGGTGCTCATCTTATGATTTCACCATGAACTTAGCAATTGTGTGTACTGCATTCCAGTTTTATTTCGTTGTCCACCTTTTTTTGGGTGGTCTCAGTTGCATTTTAGTGAAACATAAACTCTAGACTAGACTTCTCATATTAGGCCTTTATTTTATCATAGCACAACTCTATTTTGTGGTGGATTATTAGCTGACATATGAGACAATTGGGATTTAAATAGGGCAAACTAGTATTGTCTGTGTTACTCTATGAGCCATCTTAAACTAAACAATATTAAATGCAGTGGAAGACTTGTCTTGTTGACTACTTCCCCGTGGCATATATATTGTTGCTGGTGGTTTTAGATAGGGACCAAATTGCCTATGGATGGAAGAACCAAATGCATCGTCTGTGCTGATATATTCTTCTGCTTCTTGTGTGGATCACCATTATTGAATCTCTTTGTACTAGGATGATGGACAACACATTTTTAGTGGCACAAGTGGTCGCGTTGGCGAATATGAAGAAATCTTTGGGGCAGATCCGTGGGCTTTTGGTTATTCTGCCGCTTTGCAATCTTTGGATGTTTCTCCAAACCCCCAGGTTTATTGCAGCCATGCATGATGGTTTGTTCTATTTACATATCAATACATCGATGATTAACAGTTCTTTTCATCACTAGTTCAACATGCATGGCTCCTCCCAGATGTCCTGCCCACCTATGAATGGGCAACCTAGTCAGGGGTTCTCCATTGACAACAACTATGGCTCTCAGAACCCTCCATCATTGAAATCACAGAGGGCCGAAAAGAAGAAAAACATGTCCAGGAGAGGAACTGCAATCACCAAAGAGGAGGACTTGGTGGTGTGTTCGGCATTTCTGAATATTAGCAAAGACCCTATTACTGGTAATAGTTTGCAACGTCTTTTAAGAAATCTTTGACCATTTGATGCCCAAATAACATGGTGGCATAACATGCAGGTGTGAATCAGACTTCAGGTGGTTATTACAAGAGGATGCATGATTATTTCAAATTAATTCAATGGGTCATGAAAATGGAAACTGGGCCAAAGATTGTACCTGCTTCTGAAATGCTCCTCATTGTAAAGTGGGCGTTCAACGAAGTAGTCCTGATTCAGCTGCCAGTCTGCTGCAAGTCGATCACGCTTGTAAGTCTTGTGGCCTGAGACCGAACCTCCCCAAGGGCATTTTTGTGGCGTCTGGGTGAGGACGGCCACCGCGGCTATGAAATCATCGTCGTTGGAGTATGATGCGGCTGCCCCAAACATTGACATTTTGACGTAACTCCAAGCCATGGCCAAAACAACCGCAGTCGAGGTCTAAAGCCAAGTCGATTTAGGGATAAATTAGGCACAAATCATGGGCTTGAGGGGGATTGGAGGGGATTGAGAGGGATTTGATCCCCCTTTGATCCTCTCCAATCCACTCGGATTTGAGGCAGAACGCACAAGCCCTAAAAGGAAATGTGACATCGAATAAGCAAATTACCAGAAAATCAGATTACCCGTGTTCTGATTAACTCTGTTGTCCAACGCCGGCCTTGTGCGGACGGTTGATTGAGCGAGCCCGCGCCAACGCCGGCTACGTCGCTGCCACCTCGAGTCCCTTCACGCAGCCGAGGCGGCAAAATAACCCCGCCATCGAGCGAAGGCGCGGTATAACACCCGGCTCGCACCATAGCCTCCGTCTCCCGTGGAAATTTATCGTGCGCCCGACAAAGAAATTATCTGCTCGGGGGCTTTTCTTTTGCCTTCGCTGTTGGAAAAGGAATGTTTTAGGCGCGTGACCCATTTTCTATGCATGATCCGCCGGAACGGGTGTAGTATTTAGGTAACAACCGATGGAGATAGTTTTAGAGGATCTCGTTCCCGACAGCAGAGCTCTCCACGGCGACGGGCGCCCCTGATCCATATTTGTAATTGTGCAAATTTGAACATCAACATGGGTACTTGACTGGACACCGACACTGACACTGACAGAGTCAATGGCGACGGGCGAGCTTTATGTGCGCGACGCAGCCAGCGCTCTGCATTCGCGGTGTTCACAGTTCCGCACGCCACTCTGGTTCCGGGAATATTCCGCTCCTGCTCTCCTCCATGATTGGCGCATTGTTTAGATGCGATCCAAAATCCTAAGTTTTTTCACTTTCTTTCCATCACATCAATTTTTAGCCGTTTGTATGGAGTATTAAATGTAGGTAAAAAAATAACTAATTACACAGTTTAGTTGGAAATCACGAGATGAATTTTTTGAGTTTAGTTAATCAACAATTGAACAATATTTATCAAATAAGACGAAAGTGATACTATTGATCGGGTTCATTTTTTTTGCAAAGTGAACGCGGCGTGGGTATATATCCGCAAATCCAATCCAGCACACTGATCCTCATCAAGTCGCTACCTTTTTTCTTTTCCCTTTGGAGATTGCTACAACAAGTGGTTAGGGATTTTAGGTTCAGCTGCTGTTTGTTTCAGGCTCTCTCAGCTGGGAGTTCGTCAGGGCAGCATGAGGGCGCCGCTGCTGCTGTGGGCGGCCGCCACATGGCTGGCCGTCAGCGCCGTGGCGCACCCTGGCAGAGGCGGCGGCGGCGGGGAGCAGCCGCTGTCGAGGATCGCCGTCGAGAGGGCGGTCCTCGCCGTCGACGATGCGGCGCACGTCAAGGCGTCCCCTTTGCTTCTTGGGCTCAAGGTCAACTCCAGTCCTCACCACCACTCTTGTTTGGGGAGTCAATTTCTGGTTCACTGACAGTCTAGGGAACTTGTGGATTGTGGCGGTGCAGGGCGAGAACAGTGAATGGGTGGATGTGGAGTTCTTCCATCCCAACCCATCCAGCGACGATTGGATCGGCGTGTTCTCTCCTGCGAATTTCAGGTAACAGTTAACAGTATTGGTGCCTGGCTAATTGATTAGATCAACAAACTCACTAAACCAGATGGGGATAAATGTCTCCATAATTCCCCTTTGCAAAGAAAGGGCACACATTCTCAGTCTGATGTTTCTTGTTTGGGCATTGTCAGTGCTGCAATCTGTGAGCCTGAGAATAAGAGGCAGTATCCTCCAGTGCTATGCACTGCACCTATCAAGGTCAGCATGTGCCCTGTTCTGTTTAACTCGACTTTGTGTACAATAGCATGTCAAGTTTCAGATTTTCTGAATGCATATATTTTTGAACCCTGACTGTTTTTTCTCCCCATATCTTCATTCATTCGTTGCAGTACCAGTTTGCAAACTTCAAAAATGATGACTATAACAAGACTGGAAAGGGCTATCTGAAGCTTCAGTTGATCAACCAGAGGGAAGATTTCTCGTTCGCACTTTTTTCAGGAGGCCTCTTGAAGGTAAGCTAAAAAAAACGTTACTACCATCTCCTGAACTTCTCTACTTTGTACTTTCCAGTATAATTCTGAACTTTTGAAGATGCATTCGTTCATGTTCTGCATCTGAACAAAAAGCCACTGCTGTAACAGCCCAAGCTGATTGCTGTCTCCAACAAGGTAGCATTTGCGAATCCAAAGGCACCAGTGTACCCACGTTTGGCACAAGGGAAGTCTTGGAATGAAGTAAGCCTTCTTGTCATTCCACAATTGCGACAACAGTTTCAGTTTCATGGATTACACGAAACATTGTGCAATGTGTATGTTTTTTTACAAGAAATTATTTTAGTATTCTGCTCTCAGCTCAACGTTGTATAAACAAAGGAGCACATACATTGTGGAAATAAATTAACTACAACCACCAATCTAAGAATGCGACTCTATTATCTTTGTTTTTGCAGATGACAGTCACCTGGACAAGTGGCTATGATATTACAGAAGCAGTCCCTTTTGTTGAATGGGGTGAGAAAGGAGGACGCCGGTTTCTTGCTCCAGCTGGAACATTAACATTTGACAGAAATAGCATGTGTGGTAGGTTATTATTTTCCTATTCTCCCTAGAGATGAACCAAGAAGCTCTTGACAGTTCACGATTTACTAGCTGATGTATCAGTCTTTTAATTTCTAACCTGCAACCTCAGGGGCACCAGCGCGAACTGTTGGTTGGCGCCATCCTGGTTACATTCATACTAGCTACCTGAAGGATTTGTGGCCAGATTCACCGTATGGGTTCTGTCATGCATTTGTATTTGGCTAAACATTTCCATATGTTCAACCTGTTTCGTGAGCTAATAAGCAACATGTTCATTTGCAAAAATTCAGTTACACTTACAGGCTTGGCCATAGGCTAATGAATGGGACCCGTGTCTGGAGCAAATCATACAGCTTCAAAGCATCACCTTACCCTGGACAAGATTCTTTGCAACGAGTTATCATATTTGGAGACATGGGAAAGGTACATGTTTCCTTCCATATCTATCCTAGTTTCATTCAAATAACAAATTGGTATTTTTCATTTTCAAATGTACTCAACCTTCTGGCATTTTCTATTTCTATTTACAGGCAGAGGCAGATGGCTCAAATGAGTTCAACAACTTCCAGCCAGGTTCACTAAACACTACTCACCAGATCATCAGTGACATAGAAAACATCGACATGGTGGTCCACATTGGGGACATCTGCTACGCGAATGGCTACTTGTCTCAATGGGACCAGTTCACTGCACAGATTGAACCAATCGCTTCAACGGTGCCATACATGATTGGAAGGTCAGTTGAGTGTCTCAGTTCGATACTTTCTTATGTTCCTCCCATGTATTCCTGTATACGGTTGTTTACAAGAAGAGGAACTTTTGCAGTGGTAACCATGAGAGGGATTGGCCTGGCACTGGTTCATTCTACGGAAATCTCGACTCCGGTGGAGAATGCGGTGTCCCTGCCCAAACCGTGTTCTACACTCCAGCTGAGAACCGTGCAAAATTCTGGTAACTATAGTTAAGGCCATAGCATTTTCTTCAGATGCCATTTCTAACTTTGTTACTGACCGAACTGAACATTGGTCCTTCTTCAGGTACGCAACAGACTACGGCATGTTCAGGTTCTGCATTGCTCACACGGAAGAGGACTGGAGGCCCGGGACCGAGCAGTACAAGTTCATTGAGCAATGCCTGTCTTCTGTTGACAGGCAGAAGCAGCCATGGCTCATCTTCCTTGCGCACCGTGTTCTTGGCTACTCGTCCTGCGCCTACTACGAGTCAGAGGGCACGTTCGAGGAACCCATGGGGCGGGAAGCGCTGCAGGAGCTCTGGCAGAAGTACAAGGTCGATCTCGCCTTCTATGGACACGTCCACAGCTACGAAAGGACATGCCCAGTCTATCAGGTGTGCCTTCAGTTTCCATCTACAATCAGATCAACCTCTAGTTTGCACACAGTTGTTTTTGTTGCACTGCCTGCTGTCTGAAACTTGCATGTCCTGTTACACACACCCATACGCCTGACTGTAATCTTTCAATTTCTGCAGAGTCAATGCGTCGTGGACGCGTCAGACCACTACAGCGGCCCGTTCCAGGCGACGACGCACGTCGTCGTCGGCGGCGCAGGAGCCACCCTTTCTGAATTCACCGCCTCAAAGATCCAGTGGAGCCACTTTACTGACTTCGACCACGGGTTCGTCAAGCTCACGGCCTTCAACCACTCGTCCCTGCTGTTCGAGTACAAGAAGAGCCGCGACGGCAACGTGTACGACCATTTCACGATCTCGCGCGACTACCGGGACATCCTCGCTTGCTCTGTCGACAACTGCCCCCGGACCACACTGGCCTCATGAAGTCTCAGTCACAATGGTTTTCAGGCAAGGAATTCGGACATTCAGTTTCTTGCAGGGCAGCAGCAATTCAGTTACTGTACTTTTTTTTTTAGTGCGGCAATAAATGAGGCGTTTTCTTTTCTGCCTGCATTATTTTGTTGTACCTGCAGGTGAAACTGTGAGTGCCTTTTGTTCTACCCTTAGCTAAAATATGTTTTAGTAGGATGTGGTGCAGTGCTTTGCAAATTTTCAAGTTATTTTTTTATTTTCTTTAACGGACGACTAGCGCCCGGATGTCCGGAACGCGGCGTCCGTCCAGATGCAGCTTCCACACCCGCACCTGACGAACGCAACTCCCTTCACCCCGCGCCAAATCGCGCTCCGAAGGCAGCGTCCGTCCGGACAGAGCTCGGCGCCTGCACCCGACGCCTGCCCGCATCGCATCCCGCGTGCTGTCTGCATCACGCGCCAGTGTCTGGTACCACGCGCCTATGTTCGCACATGAACCACGGTGGTGCCCCGGGCAGCAGCACCAAGCCTGCCGTGCCCATCCCGCGCTCGCACATGAACGCCCCGCACGTAAACCACGGCGGCGCCTCGGCAGTAGCACCAGGCGG